GTCTTTGATCTTTCTGAGTTGAAATTCTAAGAATGGCACCAGTATCAGCTTTGGCCAAGTACAAGCTGGTGTTCTTAGGAGACCAATCAGTGGGCAAAACCAGCATCATTACTCGCTTCATGTATGATAAATTTGATAACACCTATCAGGTATACTATAATTCCACTTAACAACAATCAAATTACACTGCTTATACTTCAATTTCATCCCCCAATTCGCTCATGTTTGTGACCTAGATCGGCTGTAGACTTATTACTGGAGTTTTCTTTAGCCATCGATCTACATGTTTAAAAATGTTTTAATTGTTTCTTTGAGGTTGCATTTAATTGGCTTCTTGAAATTATGCTTTGATATTAATTAACTTAAAGAAACTTTATTTGATGATCAGGCTACAATTGGTATTGATTTCCTGTCAAAAACAATGTATCTTGAAGATCGAACTGTCCGTCTGCAGTTGTGGTAAGATTTGGCGCCTCCTCAAGATATAGTCACTTAATTCATATAGATTTAATACTGCAGCTTTATGATGTTTTATTGTCTATTTCGAATATTTTTTTTGTTCCTCAAAATTGTTAGAGTGCTGGGGAACAGAAACTTGGAGTCTGCACATATTAATTTTGATTTCCATTAATCTGTTCCTATTGGAAACAATTGTGATTGCTAATCTGAAGTGCCTCTGGTGTTTTGAGCAATAAGTTTGACTTAGCTTTCTTGATGTTCTCATAGATGTCAAATAGGGATAAAAGGAATGTATGCCTAATTGTCATATTGCTTGGAGAATTTCACCTTTTTAATTTGTTTGTATTAGAATCTTTGGGATGGGGGCTAGTATGCTAACAAAAGTTAATCTATGATTATGATAAAAAATTAAATTTTAGACAAGTATATGGCAGTACAGACAGAATGACATAAGTTTTATGCTAAGTAGAAAGAAATGGATACATATTTAGAGCATGGATTAGAAATTACCCAGGCCTTGTTGATTCATGAAATAAAACTTGAGCAATTGAGTTTTTACTGTATGATTCTTGTTTCTGCCAATTTTAGTTCCCTAAAATTGAAGAAAACTGTCATAGTGATTATAAAGAACAATTTGTTTCTATAGAGGTGTGAATTATGATTCCTAGTCTGATGTTTTTACTTTTTAGAAGTTCCCTGATCATTTGTCATTTTTTTTGTAACAGGGATACAGCTGGACAGGAAAGATTTAGAAGTCTCATCCCAAGCTACATTAGGGATTCCTCAGTTGCTGTCATCGTTTATGATGTTGCAAGTAGGCAATTTTTCAAATTGTTTTCACTTGAATATTTCCTTGTCAACTAAGTTCAATACAGCTTGATAGGAGCTTTTTTCATTTTTAAGAACAATTGAATAATTGGCATAATGGATTTTAAAAGATCGTATAGTTATTCTGTCATATGCTCTTGTGTGATCATGCTTCATTGCCTAATTGATATTCTCTGATAATCCTGTTGCTCCTATGGTTTAGGTCGGCAATCTTTCTTAAATACTTCAAAATGGATCGAAGAGGTTCGCACTGAGAGGGGTAGTGATGTCATCATTGTCGTTGTTGGCAACAAAACTGACCTTGTGGACAAAAGGTACATAGTCAGCAAAAGATGGTTGAAATTGGATTTAACTTTTTGCTATAATGGTTAAAGTCGGAACTAATTCTTGTTACTGTTGCATTTCTCTGTTCAACTGTAAAATGAAGACCTGTTCCACTCTGTGGATGAGTCAATAAAATGAGTTCACTAATACACATGGGTTTAATTGATTTAGAAACTTTTTTTTCCCCTATAAAATAGTTAAGCTTGGAATTCAATGTGTTTTGTGTCAAATTTATTTATGTTATTCACATTTGATGATTCATAGGCAAGTCTCTGTAGAGGAAGGAGAAGCAAAAGCTCAGGATCTTAATGTCATGTTTATCGAAACCAGTGCTAAAGCCGGTTTCAATATAAAGGTAGACCCTCTTTCTTTATTTTCCTCCATTGAATACTTTAGTTTCTCACAGGGTTGGAAGAGGACATAAGAAAGATGTGGTATGTTTGTGAGTGATCTAGGGAAGATTTGCTGTCATTATATTTAACAAGGAGAACACATGCAGTCAATTCTAAAGTTGTTATCATTATGTTACATCATCTCCGATTGATGTTTCTGATGTACTCAAGCAGGCTGCTGGATTGATGCTTAGCATCTTCCATTTTTCTCTTGATTATTTCTCTCTCTCTCTCTCTCTCTCTCTCTCGTCTCTAAATTTTAGATTATTGATGACTATGCAGGCTCTGTTTCGGAAAATTGCTGCAGCATTACCTGGAATGGAAACACTTTCTTCAACCAAGCAAGAAGACATGGTTGATGTGAATCTGAGGTCTACTACTGGAAATGCATCACAGTCCAATTCTCAGTCAGGTGGATGCTCTTGTTGATGCAATCTTGCCTTGGACTTTTTGGCATCTATAGTCCATCTCATGCTATTTGGTGTTTTTGACTTTTTTCCACCCCGGATCTGTAAAGTTACTGTAGCTTCTGTCTTTTCCTTGATGTTCCATTACCCTTTTATAAAGTATGGTTCTGAGCATAATCTTTGGAACACAAGCAGCTGAATTGTTGAAAGGCAAGGATCAAAGAAATTGGAGACTGGTTATGGTACTAGAAATTTGGTAAATTTTACTTGGCTTCAATGGTTTTTGATTATGTTGACCCAGAACAATAGAGTAAATAGGATTGGACCAAGTCCATTATACCTTTTTTGCTTGTAAAACATGTGCATTGGACATCAATAATACTATACTTACAAGATATACTTATAAAGATTTCCACAAAGTGAGGTGACAAAAAAATGAATGGAAGAGTGAAACAAAAAGTCAAACTTATTAATTCACTATTTCATTCATTTTTTGCCACACTCACTGTATGGAGATCTGTATAAAATTTCTTTGTAAGTGTAGTATACTCATTGGACATATGTATGAGTCAGTATGACTGTTATCGGGATCTTTTAATTGAGTAATAATATACTTACAAACTCATATATACAAATTATTGGGATACCTGTTTTTTTGTTTTTTTGTAATTTTATTATTTTTAAAATTTTTGCTCCAGTCTGTTTATAAGATGCTTGTTAAGGACATTTTTACCATTGCTTGAGAAACCTTTTTGGAACACAAGGGCTCAATTGTCAAAGCGCAATAAGTAGAAAGAGTTAAGAGGTTGCCGTTGGTTAAGTTTAGCATAGTGCTAGCTTGCAATGGCTTTAATGAATTTGATTATGTTTCTCTACTACAAAAACGAGTAATATGATTGCGTATCACCTAAATGCCTGGTTAGAGATACAGTTTCGTCTCCATAGCATATTGTTTGGGAGATTTTGTAAGCAAATTTTGTGTAGAATATGACTATGATAGTAATGTGTCCATTACTATATTGTGTAGATACATGATAGTTGCAGAGCCCTTCCATAGACTGAACTTGGGTACAATTCAAGTTACAATTTTCATTTGGAATGTAGAACATAACAGTGCTAATCTCTCTAATTAACTGGTTGTTGCCTTTAGACTGCTAGCTTTGATTGTCGGTGAAAAAAAAATTTTTGATTACTATTTAGTGAAGAGATGTTATAGCTGCAGTGCCCTTGGTATAAATTAACGATCCCTGGGTACATTCAATTTCAATTTTCATTTGGGACAATTAATTAGATGCTAATCTCCCTAATTAATTGGTTGTTGCCTTTTGACTGCTAGGTTGATTTGTGGCTAAATACCCCCACACCAGAGGAGAAAAATTCCACAGAATAGCCAGGTGCAGGCCAACATGTTGCAACTAAACAAATCTTCTTTCCGACACTTCATTATAATATAGTTTCTTTTTTTGCGTTTTCTCTCCACTTCGTGATTGTGAAAAGAATTATTGACCATGAAAGACAGCATTGTTATCTTCTTTCTCCAGGAAGAGGCCACCTGGTTTCCATGATAGGGCTTGCTAAACTCATACTAACTCATTATCCTTCTTTTTCCATCACTGTCATTATCCCTGAAGCGCCTTTCGAAACTGGCTCCACCTATGAATACGTTGAATCCCTCTCCGCCACCGTCCCTTCCATCACTTTCCACCACCTTCCACCATTCCCACCACCACCTCCTTACTTGACATTCAAACTCAAACCTTCGAGTTGTCTCTCCAAAACAACCACAACTTTCACCAAGCCCTCTTACTTATCTCCAAGTCCTCCATATCAAGGCCTTGATATGAATTCTTTTGCACCCTTCTTTTAAAATCTCTGCAAAACTCGAAATCCCCACCTACTATTAGCCTGGGTCCTCAGCGGCCTCACTGTGTTTCTCTACCTTCCAACAATTCACAGAACACCACAAAGAGTTTAAAAGAACTCGGCAACGAGGAAATTAACATCCCCGCATGCCAGTTCCTTGAGAGCAAAAGACATGCCCTATCCCATGCAAGATCGCACTTGGAAATTTACGACTGCTTTGCGAGACTGCCATTTAGAGCCCAAATCAGCTGGAATCATAGTAAACACAGTGAAACACTTGAAAAAACAGCTCTTAACGCAGTATTAGACGGACATGCACACCCGGAGAGCCAGCTCCACGATATATTGCATAGGGCCGTTGATAGTGTCCAGTGGACGGCAGTCGAAGTGATGAAAATAGGCATGATTGCTTGAATTGGCTTACATGCAACCAAAAGGAAGTGTTGTATTCTGAGTTTTGTTAGTTTGGGAAAGTTCTCAGCCAATCAATTGAAAGAAATGGCTATAGGTTGGAGAAAAGTGGAGTGAGTTCTTGTGGTGGTTCGTCGCTGAAGATCGTGATACAAGCTTGGAATGGTGTTGCCACAAGGGTTCTTGGAGAGAACAAGAGACAGAGGATACTTGCAAAATCTTGGGCACCACAAGTTCCAGTAATAGTCACGAGTCTGTAGGTGGATTTGTGAGTCACTGTGGTGCAACTCGGTTCTAGAAGCGATCCGTGCAGGGGTGCCAATGTTGGTTTGGCCTCTTTATGCAGACAAAAATTGTATAAGGTGAGTGTAGTGGAGGAGTTGAAGGTGGCTTTGGCTGTTGAAGCTGAAGATTATGGGTTGGTGAGTGCAGAGGAGTTGGAGAAGCTAGTTAGTTAAAACTCAAACGAGGGAAAATTGATCAAAGAACGGGTGATGGCTTTAAAAGATAAAGTGTCGGTGGCGCTTAAGGAAGGAGGTCCTTCGCGCGTTGCCTTGCTAACTTGATCGAATCAATTCTGAAGCATTAGACGTTAAAGTTAACGTTTTAGGGATTGTTTCTTTGTTTTTTTTTTTTATTATTATTCAGGTTTATTGCTATATATTAAAATCAACTCTGAACCTCTCATGTACAGAATTCAAATCATTAATAATAAAATTATGACTAAATTTGTTGGGATGCGCCAGGCCCAAGTAGTATTGCAACACAAGGGCACGCCTGAGGACTCTATAGCAAGCTACTGTATGAGCCCAGTCCCTAGAGAAATTATTTAATATCATGTGGAACGATGTCCCACGTATCAGATATTAAACTGATAAGAACAGATACTACACTTGATCTTAGCCAAAAGGCCGAGAAGGTATGAATGGTTTTTCAATCTTCAATGCCCTTTAATACTAAACACTTGTAGCCAAACCTCCATATCTCATCGGTGGGAAATGTGCATAACTCATTACACCTATTATACTTACTGCTTTTAAATAACATATTTCAACAAAATAATTTGATTATGTGAGATGAAATTAGATCATAAATAACTGGTGGTAAAAAGTTTAATTTCAACTATTATATATTTATATTTTGTTTAATAAGAAAAAGTATTTTTAATTAAATGAAACAATAAAAAATGCAAAAATGTACAACACCACATATAGAAACAAAATTTATAACAAATGTAATATTGAAATTGAGGTTAGGGGTTGGGAAGTTGAGATTAAACAATGTCGTGACTGAAATAAGAATTGTAACCGCACACATGGTGCTTAAATAGTGAACTTTTATAGGTCCTAGGTGTTTACTAAAACATTTTCTATTAAATGTTTTGTAACATTTAATAGACCAAGACATGGCCAAATAACAACTGACCAAACTAAGATACGTTCCAAAGCCATATAGTAAAATTAAAGTCATAGGGGAGACAACTATTGAACTGTGTGCCTATAGATGACCTCTTCGTTTGGAAAAAAAAAAAAAAAGTCTTTAATTTATCATTTACTATGGCACATATGCTAGTTCTTTATCTTCTCCTATTGTTTCGGTCACTCAATTTGGCTTGTTTACGGAAGCTTTATGTAAATTTTTATGTGAATAAAACAGGGAGAATGACATTTTCTCACCATTCGTTAAATTCTGTTATGTTTTCTGTTAATATTTGACTGAAAAGATGAAGATACCCTTAAATATTTGATTTTATAAATTTTTTATTATTTTTTAATTAGCCAAAAAGTCAAATATTAAAATGTAAAAAAAAAAAAAAATAATAACTAAAAAGTTAGGATTAATGCTGTGCAATTATTTAAAGTTAAATGACCTTTATATGAATAAAATAGGGAGAACAATATTTTCCCACCATTCGTTAAGTTCTGTTACGTTTTCTGTTAATATTTGATTGAAAAGACAAAAATACCCTTAAATATTTAAATATATAAATTTTTTATTATTTTTTAATTAGCTAAAAAATCAAATATTAAAAAGTAAAAAAAATTATAATAACAAAAAAGTTAGGAATAACACTATGAAATTGTTTAAAGTTAAATGACCTTAATATTTATTTATAATGTCATCAATATCCCATCTCTATTATTCAATAATCTACTAAATTTATAATGTTTTTTATAATATAATGTTTTTCATTTTTATTAATTAACATAGGAAATCAATATTCCTAATTAATTAAATAAAAAAAGAAAAAAAAGCATCTTTACACTTGAACTGATAAATAATCACTTTTAACTTAACTAAATTTTAATTTATAATAAACTATTTAGCAATATTTTCATATTTTCATTCAAATATTAATAGAAAGCACTAACAGAATCTGACAAAGGAGTGAAAGTGTCATTTTAAAACTTGATGAGTGGGAAAATGTCATTCTCTCGATAAAATATCATTTTAAATTTAAAGAATATAACCATCCATGAAATTCTCTGCGACATATTGACACTGACTCCTTTGTAAAACAGCCAACCGCTTTTACAAATGAACTTAGCTACTTATTCACACCACCTTGGATTTAATTTAATAGATATCAATTATCAACCTAGCGAAGTCAGACTTTGCTCACGAGCGAAAACAAGTCAAACTTTGCTGAGTTTCAAATTACTGTGTTGAATTTTGATAGTAGGGCATCCTATAAAGTGCAAGATTTATGATATTCCACTGACTACAAAATATTTACACAAGCTATCCTTTAAGACTTAAGACAGCCGCTTTATATTGGTTTATAACACTATTAGCCCCATTTATCTATTACTGGTAATTTGCTTCCCTCAACCTTCATGGATGCCGCTCGAGAACAGCAACAACAAACCAGAGGTTGGTCATTCATCAAGCCTAATTGATTACTAAATTATCATTATTCTTCTCCCTGTTCTGTCTGCTGTTGGTTTTCAGAGTAGATTGATAATCCCAAAAATTAGTTGTGTTTCTTGTTTTATGGAATTCACAAGATGGGGAAAGTCAAAAGTGAAAAAGTAGGGAAGAAAGTTCAAGAACTATGAACAACTTGATTCTTCTAGTGTTTGATATAAGAAATAACAGATATATAAGTAGAAAGATTGAGTATGCTTTTCCATTTTACCCATGCATGATAATATAAATGAAATTATAATATTAGATAAATTAACATATCCTAAAATTAATTAATTAATTAATTATGGTATGTAAGCTTTTAGTTTGGCAGCAATCAATCCGAATCTTCGTTACTTTTGAAGATTAAAATAATATTAATTCTATAATTGCAATGGATATGATTGTGTAAAAATCTTTCGTTAGTTTAATCTGTTTAACTTCCCCAGTTAATGACGAAGAACCAGACTTGCAAAGAAACGCTTCTTCGACCAACCGATGGCGATTTCCGAAGCTAATACATTACAAATGGTGGCTTCGTGTGATTCTCTGCATATTCTTTCTTCTTGTTGGTCAAACAGCTGCTACTCTGCTAGGAAGATTGTACTATGACAAAGGTGGAAATAGCAAATGGATGGCAACATTTGTTCAATCAGCGGGCTTCCCAATTCTCCTTCCCCTTCTATTTTTCTTTTCATCTTCCACCAAATCAGAAAACATTTCGACTGCTTCTTCCTTCACAACCAAGCCAAAACTCTCCACCCTTCTGCTTCTGTATGCCGCCTTCGGCCTACTCTTGGTAGGTGACAACATGATGTACTCATATGGACTTTTATACCTTCCTGTCTCAACTTATTCTCTGCTTTGTGCAACCCAATTGGCCTTTAATGCATTCTTCTCCTACTTTCTCAATTCACAGAAGTTTACTTCTTTCATCCTCAACTCTTTAGTCCTTCTCACCATTTCAGCCTCACTTCTTGCCGTCAATGCAGACTCTGAAAACACTACAGGCATTAGCAGAGGAAAATATGTAATTGGGTTTTTATGCACGCTTGGAGCATCGGCAACGTACTCATTATACCTTTCCCTCCTGCAGCTTTCTTTTGAGAAGGTTATTAAAAGAGAGACATTTTCTGTTGTTTTAGATATGCAAATATACCCATCATTTGTCGCAACATGTGGATGTGTAGTGGGATTATTTGCCAGTGGAGAATGGAAAGGTTTGTCAAAAGAGATGAAAGAATTTGAACAAGGCAGGGTATCATATCTAATGACTCTGATTTGGACAGCAGTAACAAGGCAAATTTCATCCGTGGGTTTGTTGGGGTTAATTTTTGAGGTATCTTCTTTATTTTCCAATGTGATTAGTACTTTGGCTTTGCCTATTATTCCCATTTTTGCTGTGATATTTTTCCATGATAAGATGCAAGGGGTAAAGGTCATTGCCATGCTGTTAGCAATCTGGGGCTTTGTGTCCTATATCTATCAGCATTATTTAGATGACTCAAAATCCGAGGCAAACAAAAGCAAATCCAATCAGGTTTCCGGGGCTGCTATAGAGATTTGATGACTCTGGAAGTTATATATTTAACAGTTTGGAAACACTGTTGAGATGGTTTCATGAATTTTCTGCATTGATGTCTGAATATAAGGTGCTCTTTAACTAGAAATATTGCTTTTCATTTGACTATTATATGTAAAGATTTCAGAACCCTATTTTTGTGGTATATTATACTGTTACATAATATAACGTTTACCATTCTAGAAAGTTCATAGAATATGATATATGTATTTTTTGTATCATATATATGTTTTGTATCTGTGAATTTCTGCAAATTAAGTCAATAAATTGTGAAGGAAAGAACCAAGTGAAGCATACAAACTCACAGGACTAACCATCGGCTGCTAGTCAATAAAAGATATTCCGTAGTGGCACTATCATTCCCTTCCTTGTCTTGATAGTCCCACACTGATTATATATGAGGGATAGGCTGATAAGCAAGGTATAGAAAAGAGAAATGAAGGGGAGGAGAAAAGCATACCTTTCTCGGCCTTTTGGCTAAGATCAAGTGTAGTATCTGTTCTTATCAGTTTAATATCTGATACGTGGGACATTGTCCCGCATGATATTAAATTTATTTTTCCAGGGAGAGGTTTCACCACAGTAGCTTGCTACTGGAGTCCTCAAGCGTCGCCCTAGTGTTGCACTAGTGCATGGGCCTGGCGCATCCCTCCAATTCCAATGCAGTGCTTGTGATTTTAACTAGGGTACGGCTGAATAGATCGAAGTTTTCTCAAGTTCAGCACATCGGACGCAAATAAGTTGCTCTAGAAATTGCATTATCTAGTAAAAGGCTACGGCAGTACGGCTCCATGACTTTGTAATTTGTTTCTGAGCCTTCCATCTTCCATGGCTGAGATGTGGGGTTTCTCCTTTCAAATTTCTAGTTTTTGCCATCAAAATGGGTGGGTGCTCTTTCAGTCTTTCTATGTTGAAGCTTATGACTATGATTTTCTTTTTCTATAAGTATAAATTATGTAAAATTGAAATTTGTAATTAAGTGGTTTTCTCTCTATAATTTGCAGGGTTAGTTATTAATTGCAAAATGTTGTCCTTCTGTTTGACTAAATTCTCTCTCTCAATTTCTGTCTGGTGTTTCTTATTGAATTAAACCTAAATCTGAAAAATATCAACGAAAGTAAACATTCTCGATGTACATAGTAGCACAAGGACCAGTAGTGGCAGTAGCTTTTTTTCCAGTTGGACCCTACTCTCAAATTTGGTTGCTGCTATGACTTGTAACAGAATAACCAATCAACAATTCAACATTCGATCTTAAAGCATAAAAAATATGTGAAGCACGTGTAAAAGCTTGAATAATTCTATCTGTACTAACCCAAACCATGATGCCACCTCTCTTAATTGTCACGTCAGTTCCCTGCAAAAGCTAAAAAAAAAAAAAAAAATTCAAAATTTTAATTATCTCTCTCAAATGAATAAAAATTCTCTGAAAGTGAAACATAAACCCACCAGCCGTGTATCCTCGACCACCACCAGCATCCCACCGTCTTCAACCACTAGCGCCGACCGCTGTTGTCCACCACCAGCATTGACCACCATCTTCCACCACCACTCTTCTTTTTCATTTACTGAATTTATAAAAAATTGCTCCCAAATTAGAAACCCGTAAGATTGAACCATCTTTTGCGTCATGGTATTATTTCTATAACTTTAAATCATCATCTAAGAACAATATAAGAGCTCGAGAGTCATGATAAAAAGCTATAAATAAAATGTTGTATTTGTTAACATGCGTTGCTTATGTTGTGGTTTGACAATTGCTAGACTATTTCATTGCAAAATAGTTTATTTGTTTCTTTTTATTGCAGGTTGTGTTTTTTTGAACTATGAGACAAAAGAACAAGCCCTTGTGCCTTGTGGTTGAGATTTTATTTCAAAAAATTGACCTCTTGGTTGTCTATTGCTAGCATTATTTTCCGCATTGTTCATGTTCAGGTATACATTTTTCACTTTCCTTATTGCATAATAGTATTAATGAATTAATATTAATTGTTTTTGAATTTATTTACATAATTGATGTACCTTTACCATTTATATAGATTATTGGCAATCTATATACAATTGAAATGACCCTCTTTCATCGTGCAGGTTGGTTCAGCAGACCATCGCATCCAAACACGAAAAACTTTTTTGAACTTGGTCTTGGTGTTGCATCAAAGTACCAAAGATGGAAGAGTGTAGTGAAAAAAAATCCAGACAACTCTTCTTCTCATTTCAATGTTGTGGAGGTAATATTTTGTTTGTAATCTCTTTTTATTCATTAATATGATTTTAAATTTTTTATGGTATTGCTTCTATCCTTTTTGTTGTATTATTATATTTTAACTAAGGCTATTATAATATCAATAAATTAGGATAATCATTTTGAAGAAATAGAAGATACAAGAAGTGCAGAGGAGGAGTGGGAGCCTAAGCGTGGAATGATTTTTGATTCGCTTGATAATCTTGTCCAACACTACAAAAGCTATGGGAATAAAATGAGTTTCGAAGTTATTATACGATCTTCAAAGAAAAGATATGATAGAGAGGTGAAAAACGCGACACTGGCTTGTTCTTGTATTGGGAAGTCGCGCAGTAACCCCGTAAATGCTTTTAAAATGCATCCAGTGACAAAAACCGATTGTAAGGCTCGAATTGGTGTAGTTGTATGTTCTGATGGCAAATGGAAAATATGTTCAATTGTGTTTGATCATAACCATGAACTCAGTAGTTCTACCAAAAGTAGATATTTCAGAAGCAATCGAATTATACAACCGTACGAAAAAGAAAGCTTGAAGTGAATGCTAGGGCTTGGATTAGGCCAAATAAAAATTTCAATTCCTTGTTAGTTGAAGCAGGCGGTGCTAAGAATTTGCCTTTCCTACATAAAGATTGTAGGAACTACATTGAAAAAGTTAGGAGGTTATGATTTGGTGTTGGAAATGCTTCTGCAATCCAAAAATATTTTTTGAAAATGCAAAATGAGAATTCTAATTTCTTCTACATAATGGATTTAGATGAAAAAGGTCGATTAAAGAATGTTTTATGGGTGGATGCAAGAAGTAGGGCTGCATTTAAAGAGTTTGGTGATGTTGTGACATTCGACACTACATATTTGACCAACAAGTATGATATGCCATTTGGTGCTTTTGTTGTTGTTGATCATCATGGTTATTCGATACTGTTAGGTTGTGGGTTAATCTCCAACGAGGACACAAAGACATTTATATGGTTTTTTAATCTTGGCTTGCATGTATGTTGAATTGCACTCCTAAAGCAATAATCAATGATCAAGATAAGGCAATATAAAATGCAATCAAGATTGTGTTCCCTGGTACACGACATAGATGGTGTTTGTGGCATATAATGAAGAAATTGCCTGAAAAATTTAAAGGTTATAGTCAATATGAACATATTAATATAAGTTTTTTCTTTGCAAAATGTCGTGTATGATTCATTGACATATAAAGAGTTTGAAGAATGTTGGAATATGTTTATTAATAAATGCAACCTTCACGACAATGATTGGTTGCTTGGATTGTACAATGAAAGACGACGTTGGGTGCCGACTTTTGTAAAAGATACTTTTTGGGTAGGTATGTCTAATACTCAACGCAGTGAAAGTATGCATGCATTCTTTGATGGATATGTTAATTCAAAAACCACTTTAAAATAGTTTGTGGAACAATATGAGAATGTATTGCGTGATAAAGTGGAAAAAGAAAGGGAGTCTGATTTTAAATCTTTCAAATGATGGATCCCTTGCATAACCACTTATGCTATTGAGAAACAATTCCAAGATGCATATACCACTGCAAAATTCAAAGAGTTTCAACAAGAGCTAGCTGCCAAGGTCTATTGTGGTTTATCTTCTTTCAAAGAGATTGGTTCCTATATGGAATTTATAATAGAAGAAGATGTTTTGGTTGGAGAGACTCACCGTCGTGTTCCTTTTGTGGTTTACTTTGATGAAGCAACTTGTGATGTTCGTTGCAATTGTCGATTGTTTGAGTTTAGAAGAATTTTATGTCGACATGCAATTGTGGTGTTGATTCGTAAGCAAATTTCTCATGTACCAGAAAAGTATATTTTACGACGGTGGAGGAAAAATATAAACAAATACCATACCAAGGTTAAGATAAGTTATAATAGTTGGAGCACCAATCTTGACGGACAACGATTTGATGAGTTGTCTAATTTATTTAGCGCTGTAGCAGATTAGGCGTCAAGCAATGAAAAATGATTGTAATATGGTGAAAGAAATGATCAATGATATGAAGAACAAATTGATGTCAAATAAAAGTGTCGGGATTGATAAAAGACTAAACATGTCAGGTAATACTAGAATGATTTGTGAAGGTGGTGATGATACTTTGAAAGAAGGGAGCAATAATATTCTTACTCCACGGGTTGTTCGCAGCAAAGGTCATCCCCATTCAAAAGAAAGCAATCGAAGGTTGAAAAAATTGTTTGTAAAGTAAAAGGGAAGAAATTGCGACAGCAAGAAGTTGCTATGAGTTCGAATCCTAGTCTCACACTTGGATTTAATCAAGCAACATAGGTAAGTAATTCATTTATGTTTCTTTGTCTAAGTTGATGTTTACATGTGAATTGTAGAAATGTATGCAGCCCTAGATTGTTGTTTTAGAATAACATGTACTATATATATGGAATGTAGTTACTATTAAATAAGATTTAAGATAATCTTGTTTCTTGGTTCTCTATTTTACTTTGTTTTTAGCTTTTGCTTCTGTTTTAAAAATTTCTCAGTCTACTAATGTGGTTGAGTTCTTGTTGTATGTTGCACAGGGATCAAAAGAACTTGAGTTTCAGGAAGTTGGATGCTCATGTCCATCAGTTGAAAGGCAGTAGCTCCAGGTGCTTACGGTTCTTTAGTTTTCTTATAAAAATCATGTATCAAAATGATTGTGTATGTATTTAACTGCTTGTGTGTGGTTTCATTGCTGCTTGCCATATTTTCATTGCTGTTTTCCATATTTTTGCTCCCTTAATGTGGTAGGTTAAGATTGGTGCTTGCATATGCTAGTGATGTGAATGAGTTGCTCATGGATGGTGCATTGATAAATGATGCATGTCTTGGTTTTGGTGCACTAGAATTAACTTTCTAATATTGTATTAAGATGTTTATTAGTTGTATTTTTTTTTTTTTTTTTGGTGCCAGGTCTCCAAAATTCAGCATTAATTTCAGGGGAGACTATTGGGTTGGTGCAAGATTTTCTGGTGCTACAGCTTTGTTTTTGCTCTTTGTAGTATTGGAAATTTACAAATTTTTGGAGTTTTAGCTTCTTGCAGTCTCTAGGACATTTTTGCAGTTAGTGCAATTTTGTGTGTGTTGGATCTACAGCTTGGATCTGCTCTTGAGGTGTTCTAGTGCTAGATAGATAGTTTTTAGCTATTTGGGTATGTTGGTTATTGTTGTGTGGTGGATGGCATTGGTGCATGGCCAAACAAAGGATTCTGGAGAGTTTTGTTTGGAGATGCAGCAGCAGAAAACTGCATTTTTGCATTTCCCAGAAGTAAGTTTGGAGTCATGCAGTGTTTTGTTAAGAACCTTGGCTGTTTGTGCAGTGTGTTCTGGAGTTGCAACTTCAATGTTGCATCTTGTTGGCTATTAGTGCAGTGTTTTTGGGGCTGGACATGATGATTAGGCCTGTTATTTTTGCAGTGTCCAAGAGAGTTTGGCTGGTTGTATAGTTTTATTGTACAACACTCTATGCATACTCTTTGTATAGATGATCTTGCAATCTTTTTGTGATATGTAAATACTGATCCATATTTGGAAGAAGCAACAAAAAATTCAATATATGTATATACACATAATTATATTCATAATAAGTTACTTTTTTTTTTTTTTTCGGGTAAACCAATAATTTTATACAAGAATAAAAGAATTACAACCTAGAAAAGGGGACTCCCCTTTAGAACCAAGAACCTTGGGCATTCCCAAGGGGCAAAACCACAAAAGTGAGGACAACCAAGGAAAGACA